GATTTCGTTAGAAATTAAAGTGGTAAGTATAAATACAAAAGGCTTTGACAAATCTTATGTGAACCCTAGAAACTTTGAACGTGCTCTACGCTTTCCAGTCCTTGAACGTGTGTGCAAAATATCTTCTCTTTTTCTACGCTTTCTACGCTTTACAGTGCTTGAATAATTGTTGTTGCTATACATCATCATATATCCAAGCAATTGATGTTGCTTGTATTCGATGCACATCATGTATGAATCGTTGGTGTTTCTTGAATAGTTATTGTTGCCATCATCAAATATCAATGAACAGTACATCATCATCATATTTATTGTTGTGCATGTACTTTTTCTACGATTTTTCTACTTTTCATTCTTTTCATTTTTTTTTTTGGTTCCTGTTTTTTTTTTTCTTGAATAGTTTTTTGGTTGCTGTTTTTTTTTGTTTCTGTACTTTTTCTACATCATCCTTTTTCTTTGGTTGCTGTTCCTCAAATATCAATAGCCTTCTTCATCTCCAATCAGCCTTTTTTTTGTTCAGTGTTTCTCTTCTTTATCAATGTATAATATATATATATCTAGTCCATGCCAAAACAAAAAGGAAAAAAATTATCTTCATATATATATATTTTCTTATGAACTAATTAAAAATTGCATGTATGTGGAGAGATGCTACGAATGATGGGAGTCAAAGATGAGCAATGAAGCAGATACTTATTCGTTTTTATGCATTTAGAATTATAGTTTACTTATCATTTTTTTTGTATTGAAATTACTTTTGCGCATTTTTCATAAACATGCAAACATAAATCCTTATTTGGTTGCACATTTGAGCAAATTAGATGCCCTTCTTTTTTTATTTTCTTTGGATGCCCTTTTCTTATTTGGTTGTAAAGGTACTTTTCTCTTTTGAAAATCTAGAAAAACGATAAACAAACCAAATAAAAAATAAAAAATAATAAAAAATATATTTAGAACTCTAATCAACTCTTTTAAAATCTACAATAAAACTCTAACAAACACCATCAAAATCAATCTAGGAATTCAATCAAACTCTATGTGGAGTTGATAGAAATCAATTGAACTACATTGAACTCTATAAACTTTATAACTCCATTCAACTCTTTTAAAATCTTAATTGAATACACCCACCTTAGACATTAAAAAATTCAAAACTTCCCCATTATGCAATAAAGATGGAAACATAGTGAGTTTTGATTATAAAATATTTTCTAGTATTTCAATGTTAGGCTAAATTAAAGAGAGCCTCATCTCAAGAACTCCTATAAAATAAGTTATTTTAGCCAGTAAATAGTGAGCGAGTTGGAACAACTTTGCTTTTTTTCTTTTTTTTTGGTTGACATTTCTCTCCTTTTCATGACTAAGTACGGTACAAAATGTAGGTGGCAATTAGTAAATATGGGTGTTACTGGTTGAAGAAGCTAGTACTCTTGCTATTGAAATTTATGGGTGCTGTAGTTGAAATGACAAAAATGGGTCTGAGGTGTCGGTGAGAGGTTCATGGATGGGAAGAAGACTGGTTGACTTGCCATGAATTCTGACCAAAAACTTGGTCCATAGAAATGGTGGTTCTGTTGGTATGTTGTGAGGTGTAGGGAAGACCCTCATGACTTTAGTGGCATAAAGGGCTTATCACCATGTGAGGATGCTGTGGATAGCGTGGTCCAGTGGAAAGGAATCTAACAACACAGTGATTTTGAAGGAGAAAGCAAATTTACCAAGTTGGAGGGAGGATAATGACTTGCATTTGTATATCCCATTTTTTAGCACTGTTTTTTTATCATCGAAACGAGATATTCGAATTTGAGACATCTTCTAGATTTTCTAGGCCACATGTACACAAACGTAAGCAGAATCACTCATATTTCAGGCTTGTGCTCACTCTTAGCAAAATGAAAAACCATCCAGAATTACATCTTTCAACATTACAAGAGTGTCCAACTCTTGGTCTAATTGAGACCAAGAAGTAAATTGACACTATTAAGACAAACGAAAAAAGAAAACCAAAAAACATGTAAAAGGAAAACCAGCCCAATAAACAAGGACTAGTTTTATGACTGTAGGGAAGGAGGGGGGCACACACAGAAACAACCTCTCATCCTAAACCCATCTATAACTATAAGCCAACCACTTGGAGAAGATGTGAAAACCACTGTTTTTAGTTTTCTTTTTCTCTTTCTTGAGGGGGATTAATATACAAATGAATCACACAAATGGGAAGTGAAATTACTAGAGCATTGTGCCAGTAAAATTGTTGATTAGTCAAAGCTTGATGAGCGGCTCCACCGGCCTTTCAGGTAGTCCTCTAAAGAGACACTTTGCTCAATGCTGCTCATGGAGAGTGAGTCATCCTCCACATCAAGCAGTGCAAGGTTAAGGTGAGACTGCAGATTCGAACGTGGACATGCTTCGTCCTCAGGCACATCGGATTCCTCCAGAGCATGAACTTGTAGCCTTGCCCACTTAATCACATCTGCACCACCTTGAAGGAGCTTCACAATCTGTGCTCAGAAAGAACAGATATAATTTTGTTAAAGTTTATTCAGATATTTTAGTTGTAAGCTATGAAGCCATCACATCCAACTTACAAAGCTCATTTGGGGCCTAGCTCGTGGGGCATGTCTTATACAAAGAGTGGCTGCTAAAACCATTCTCTCTATCTGCTCCTGGTTGTAGTTATTGCTTAAACACGGATCTAATAGTTGAGACATCTTCCCACCGCTTAGAATTGGCTTGGCCTGGACAATACATTTCAATAATTCAACTTTCTATCAGGAGACAACATCAGGAGGTACAAAGAGTACTGCTAAACCTTACTGGAAAAGAGGGACATACCCACATGACCAGGCTCTCATGGCCTTTTGGATAGTCACTGCTTATAGGCTTTCTTCCAGAAAGAAGCTCAAGGAGTACGACACCGAATGCATATACGTCAATCTTGTCGTTTACTTTGCCATACATAAAGTATTCAGGAGCCAAGTAGCTGCATTAAAATGCAATAATGTTATTAACTAATCAGCATGCCATAATTTACATTGTTTTCCTAAGCAGTACTTACAATTTTGAAATTTTATTCATCTTTGTAGAAAAACAGAAGTCTACAGTTAGAAGATGAAAGCTAAAAAGCTGTGAGATGAAGTTACAAACCCAAAGGTGCCTGCAACATCAGTGCATGTTATATGTGAAGAGGAGGTTGATGCCCATTTTGCCAGTCCAAAATCAGAGAGCTGAAAAAACCATGTAGAAATAGTATAAAACACTGACCATTTGAAGAAGAAAAAAAAATGCATATTTGAAAGCAACAAAATGATCAGGTACCTGTGGCTCAAAATCATCAGATAGTAGAATATTGGATGACTTGACATCCCTGTGGATTACAGGTTGAGCACTGCTGGTGTGCAGATAATCCAAGGCCTCAGCTACACCCACAGCAACCTTATATCTCTCATTCCAACCAAACGTAAGCGGATCCTTCTTACTTCCTAATACGATAAAAAATAAAAAAAGTTGTAAATTAAAGTAGAATTACACAAATCTCTTCGAGTAATGTCTAAAGCCAGAGACATATATAGTATGTACCATGGAGATTCTCTTCAAGGCTTCCTCTTGATAAGAAATCATAAACCAAGAGAAGATTGTTATCCTCAAAACAGAACCCCAAAAGGGAAATAATGTTATTGTGGTTTAAGGTAGTAATAATCTCTATTTCCAAAACAAACTCCTTCAATACATCTTCAGATGGTTTTAAGATTTTCACAGCAAGTTCTTTGCCGTCAGGAAGGCAGCCTCTATAAACTTGACTGCTACCGCCTCTCCCAATGAAGTTTTCTGGGATTACAGAAAGAAAAAAAAAAGTTTTCTTGAATAAACCACATAAATACAAATGGGAAAATGAGCAGGATATTTGACATATGAACTGTGTGGACAACATACCAGCCAAGAAATATGATGTTGCTGACTGAAGTTCCTGGTAGGTGAACAATCTGCAAGTAGCCGAGTACTTCTCATGCAAACCCTCCAATTCTTTAGGCAGGCCTTTTGAACTGTGGTCTGGTGAAGGAGGGGCAGTCACTGCCTCACTACCCACTGCAACAATTGCACCACTTTCTCCATTCAAACAGAAAGGTTGATCTTCACCTGGATCACAACTACTTTTTCTATCATCAAAATTGGAGGTAGCTGAAGGCTGCCTACTGGGCAACTGCATTGCCCACTGAACTACTGAGATCTTCCGGACCAGAGACCTCTCTGAAATTTGCTGGTCTGGTAATACAGCCCGTCGAAGCAGTGGCCAACCAGGTCTCGCTTCAGGTAATTCTCTGATCAACATAGAAATAGAACTTGCTGCTGCTTCCTCTTCTTTCTGTACTGGCACTATAGCCATAGATCTATCTTCACCGTCATCCGCAGAAGACTCCACTGCAGACTGGTGACAAGAATTATCCACAGAGGGCCGTGAACATATTGAGCATTTCTGTTTTGCAACAGTCTCAGAAGATTCCAAAAAGAGTTTAGCAAATCCCTGCTCCAATTTCTGACAATCGACCGGACCATATGTGTCCTTTAAGGCCACACTGTCACCGCCTTCATTGAGTACTTTGGAAGACTTATGCAGTGATCGGTGAAATGCAGTGAGCAAACCATTTCGGCGATGCTCTTCACTTCCTGAAAACAAGTACTCAACTTAGAGCCCCATCCACTATAGCTATAAACAAATTAAACAATAAAAACCATAGAAAGCACCCCAAAATTAGAAGAAGAAAAAAAATCTAAATACCTTGGGGGTCACAATAAGTTTTTTGAGAGCCCTCTCTGCTGAACACAACTTTCCCATTATTTACAGCAAGAACCCCACAATCCTTGGACAGTTTCTTAGCACAGTACTTGGCAACGGTGGTCGATGACCGGATTTTATGGTGGTTCTGAGCAGTGCCCACTATAACCTTACTTGCAGTATAAGAATTTGCTTCCCTGACTAAAATTTTTTTGACTGATGCTCCTCTGCAGATTTTAAGCTTGAGATCCACCTGTAAATGTTCAACCAAAATCCCAACTTTTTAACTTTCTGTTAGGCCACTGAAAAAATGATGAAACTCTCCAATGCACTGAGACTAACGCAAAACTTGGCTCCATTGTTTTGAAACTTTGACCTTAAGTAGTGGAAAACATAAAAGAAAAAATGATTCGTCTCGTGCTTTCACTCTTTCATTTTCTAAGCAAACAACCAGAGGATATAACAAAATATACGAGAGGACAACAAAATCCCAGAGGATATAACAAAATATACAAAAGGACAACAAAAATTTGCGAGAAATGAACCTGTTTCAAGTTGCAGAAACCTTCATAGACGGCAAGAACAGAGTCGAACGCTTTGACAAGGGAAAGAAGCGACGACTTCCCATCTTGATCCACAATTTCTACACATACCCAATTCATCAAAACCAGTTAGTTTTAAAAAAACAAAGAAAAGCAAAAAATCTTACACTTAAATTTCACTCACCATTTTTACCAAGAACATGCAGAGCAATCACACGGTCACCAGGCTGAGCCACTTTGACCAGAGCCCAAGTAAGCAGCTCTCTGCTCTTGGCGTCCAGCTTCACTCCGACCACAACCGAACGGCCTCCAGAGCTCTCCATCTCTGCTTGTTCACCATAATTATCTTGTACCATTTTCAAGTGCTACAATGCGTCAGAGTCCAAGCGATGTCGTTTTGGTGTCTGGGTCAGTTCCCGGCAGCTCTGTGTTTCCGTTGCCGGTGCTGTGAATTCATGTCAAGAGGCTTATAAAGAGGCTTAGAGAGAGAGAATGAGAGATGGATTGGTTTGGCTTTAACCGTCGTTGGTTTGGTTTGGTTTTGGTTTGGTTTTCAATTTCAGGTGCTCGCAAATGGTAGTCATACCAGTAGAAGAAAAGGAAAGCGTAGCAATTTAAGGCTACTGGGCGGCCCTACTTTTACCTCTAATTCAACTCACGTTCAGTTTACTCTGATCGAGCTGCTTCAACCGAGAGTTATTATTATTGGTGAATAGCTTTTTCTGCAAGTGATTAAGGTTTTGTTTATGGTGATTGGATCTCTGGGTTGGCCCACCTGCAACGCACATGGACTTAGACGGGAATGGAATCGGCTTAATAAACTTACCTTAAAAAAAATATATATATATATCTCTCTCTGTGGATCACATTACGGTTACACCCATTATATTTTAGAGATATTTAGTCATATACCCATTTTTAACATTAAAACTATAAATAAATCATACATCATTTAATTTATATAAACAAACTCAAAAAATGATAGTTGGCCGTATTGAATTTAATTTTGATTATTAAATTACTTTGATGCCCTATTGAGTGTTTTGGACTATTTTATGAGGTTTTGGAGTTGAGTTTGTTTTAAGAAATTAATGGCAGTTTTGTAATTTAAAATAAGTTAAAAGTCTTTTTGTTATGTTGCAAATGGGCTTTAGGTGTGTTTCTAAAGTCCATTTCATATGGGTTTTTTTTTTTTAATAATTTGGGTTCCTATATTTGGTATAATAGTAAATCTTCCTATATTTTATTCAACAAATGAAGTGTTGATTTATAATTGGGCTCATTCATTTTTTAATTATTTTGAACAAGTAAGTTTCTCTCATTTTAAATTGGTTTTGAGATTGGATTGGAACATCAATTTTTTTTCATGGTATTCGAGAATATCAACGAGATTTCATTTTCAGAAAAGTCGTGACTGGAATAATTTATTTTCTTCTTTCTTATTACTTGTAATGTAAATACACGTGCCGTTAAAGTCTAAACACGATAACCATAACAAGAATTCCACCTTCAAGTTGGAAATGCAAAACCTGTTTTTGTTTTCCTAAACATGCAAAAACTCTATTTAATGGGTTTTGAACACTCGTGAAAGATGTCATGTCATTCCTAAATTTGAGAGAAACCTTTATACTTCCGTGAAGGAAAAAGGCAAAAATAGGTCTAGTCTTTAGATGTGATATAAATTGGGTGAACATGGGCAGGTAAATGAGAATGACATGGGGCTTAATAAATGCATAGAGTATGGGCATATGGGATAACGGGAGTTTAAATTTGGCGGGAGCCACAAGCTCAAGGTTATTGACTTTTATTCGACAAGTGAATGTGATAGCATTGGAGGTACTTATACTATTGTTATTCACTTTTCTATATTCCTAGCTTTTGGATTGATTTGTATGACCGACGAATCTATCAACTTCTTTTTTAAATTTTTTTGGCCAAATGTATATGACTTTATATCTACTAGCCAATCTGTTAGGGAATTACAACAGTCCAGCGTCAATTTAATTAAAAGAGAGTAATTAGTTAGGAGTTTATATAAACGTGTGATAAGAGATTTACGGCTAAAGTGATTAGAAGAAGTGTTTATCCCAGCACTTAAAGTATTGTATTCAATTCCCGTATCCCAATCTTGTTTGTATATTTTTGAAAAAAAATACACAGGCATGAGCTTGTGATAAGAAAAGTTGACTCCACAATACTTTATAAATTGATATACCTACGTATGCTAAATTGATGTATAAGGTATGAAATATATATATATATATATATATAATATGTTATACTGAGCATTAGCCAAAAGGAAGGAACCATCACAAAAAGATGACGCTAATGATTTAGTCAAGAAAGCATCTTAGTCTCTACTTTATGCTGGTCTCTTTTTCTAATAGGATTTTGGTTGTTTGATCCCGTGGAATTGCTGAAAGTCAGGCCATAAAGTAGAGTGACAAAGGTTTACAATGTTTTTTATTTCCTTCATCAATCTATAGCGAGTGAAATCATGATTAGAGGGATTCTTAGAGTATTGTGGTTGCAATTTTATATTTGTATGTTTTTTAAATTTTAGAAAAAAACAAGGGGTGACATTTCCTATTAAGAGGGTGATAATATATATAATAAATTTACACACACAGTCACACTATACGAATGTTATGACTCGAATCCATAACTTTTTATATAATGAATATTTACTCCAAACCACTACACTAGTAAGTCTTTCGCTAGAAATTTTCTTTTTATAACAAAAACAAATATCATATCAAACAAAATGAAATGATACATAAGGAAGGAGGTCACTAAATGATAAATTCAATTCTCATTAAATATGAGGGAAGAACCTTCGCTAGGCCGGAGTTATATACCTCTAGCACTTGTCTTCATGATTGCCATAATTTGACAACGACCGTGATTAAAAATTTTACTCAATCATGAAAACAGTCAAAATACCTCATTTTATCACAATGAATTATTTTTAGTTCAAATTTTGTTAAACGGGATAAATTTTTACATGATATTATTAATTCACATGTTACAATATAATGAACCACATAGATGAATTGATAGCACCACGTCACCGTATTACGATTTTCACTGCCGATTAAAACTTTTGCTATTAAACCAACGAGCATGATTTATGATAATTTCCCTTTCATGCTTCTAGACAAACCATATATTCTTCCCCTCCCACTCTTTTTCATGTAACATCAATTATTTTAAATCCTTATTTCGTCGTCTACATATCAAAATATCTAGGGTTAGGTAAAAACAGTTCCAGTTTTCAATTAGGGTCGGTGGCTGAAAATAACTCTGCCCGTGTGACAGCCTAAGAAAACAACTTTTTTACGGTGCCACGCTGCGCTCCTCCTATTCAATGCGTGTAAATATAACTATTATCACGTGACATCCAATCAGACCTCATACACGTGGCAGCGGCGCTTAATTTTTAGCGGTAAAGCCAACGGCGCTGTCCTAACACGTGGCCCAGAGGGCTCTCCGCCACGTGCCTCCTAATTTCCACCAGTATGATAATGTTATTTAAAATAAATAAATAGAATTAGGTGAAGGAAGAAAGTGAAGTGACGCTGTGTAACGGTACTAATCTACTAGAGCAGGAAGAAAGGGACTATTCTGAAATATAATACGTCCAAAAATTATGGAACAACAAGAACAACTGGGTCGGTCTATTTTTTAATTTATTTTAGGTCCAATTGTGACCAGGATTAAAATTATGGGTCTTAGTATAATTCAAAGGGGTCCATAGGCAGCTTCCTCATGTTAGTCTTTAGTGCTGGAATTATGCCTATTTTTGTGCTCCACTGTTTGGAGGGGTTATTGTTAATAGTTGTAGCCAATGTGTGCTTTAGAAAAAAATTTGAAGGCCAGCTCCTTCTGTCGGTGGATTAATGTTTGGTTTCTTTCACGTGATGAAAATGACAAGCAATATCCCAAGTGTTTACACCCAAAATGAACAGCCAATGAGAACAAGACATGTGGAAGAAATCGAGTCTGGTCGGGGACTACCTACCGATCGCTCCATTAGGGCAACGCCTCCTCCTGGGACACATAGCATGCTCCCAAGCGACGTCCACAGTCCCATATCGAAATTATCAACGAAGTGCACACCTCCCAAGGCCTATAAAGGAGGCCAACCACCCCAAAATAGAGGTAATCAGAACTTACGGCATACAAGCCTATTGATCTGTCAGTTGAACTTTCTAATCCCGAACTTACTTAAGCATCTGAGAGCCTTCGGCCGGTACCACACCGGTGCCCTAGGTTTTACCGAGCGTTCGCTACTTTTGCAGATTGCTCTCTATACCGAGACCACAAGAATACCAAAGGTATAAAATCACTAAGTTGACCCTAAAAGTCAGAGAACAACTTTTTGGCGTCAACACCAAGTGTTCAGATTTTTTTCTTTTTCTGATCAAGTGATCATAAGTTGAAAGAATTGATTCAATACTACCACTATGCATTCATTAAGTATATTGATGTTTTATCGAGAATGGATTCGCTACACTGGTTTAACCCACGTCTTCTCATAATTAAATTTATTTTAATAAAATTAGATATAACATGACTATAATTACATGAAATGACTCGTTAAGTTTGACAATGAACCAACATATTAAAGATAACAAGTCTTTTCACTAGGAGCACGACTCTATGAGACGAGACTAAACTTTTTGCAATAGGGTACAATGATCGGACTTATCAATTAATTTATGCTATATTTCTCCCTTTAGCCATTCTTAGTCTTTTGAAAAGGAATGGTATCCTCCGTATGGTTCATGTTTTGCACATTTTGTGCATTCTTGGTTTAGCAATAAAACCTACCTACATTATATGAAGCATTATTTGAGTCAAATCCCAAAACAAAATTATAGCCCTTTATAAAATGTTATAATAATAAAAAAAATGATTAAAAAAAAACGAAATTATAGCCCCAACTTCGTGAGAAAATAGAAAATTAAGCAAAAAAAAGAAAAGGAGGAGGGAAAGAAGTAATTTATTATTGTCTTCACTAATCATGCCAGCCAAAATTGTATATAGGATTGGTATATATAAATACATAAAGCTTTTAAAATAACCAACAATAAAGTTATTTTTTAAATACAACTAAACATTGAAGTTTTAATTATGGACGCATGCAGATAATATATAATATTTTAAGCTAAATACTGCTAGTGGATGTGCGGATCATTGGTCCCACACCAATCACATCTACGACACAAAAATATATATGATATCAGAAATATATATATTTGCGGGCCTGATGAGAGGGAAAATTCTAGCTACCCCGATTTCCATCATGGCATCTTACTAGCTTAGTTGGGTACACAAAGCAAATATATTTCTAATCACTAGGATACGTTAAGATATGCTTATGGTTTAATGGTGGGGTTTACTTGTACCCATGGCCCATGGGTGCCAAAAGTACATATTAGTCTATGGGAATGAGATACAATGTATGAGATGCGATATGTTTTATTTTTAAATATGTTTTTTTAAAAAATTAAGTATATTGTTGTCGTGTTATGTTATCAATTCAGAGTCAGAAATTATGTAAAGGAGTCAACTCAAGGGAATAACACGAAATCTTAATTAGTTTAATAAAACTTAGTTTTCTATACAATGAATTTCATAATCTGAACATGAATTCATGGCAGGTGCAATAGATTTTTCCTAGTCTAAGTAACCAAAGGAAGAAAAATGCCAGCGACCAACCTTGTAAACAACCACTTCTAGGCTCATAGGGTCAAACTTATTACTTTGTCACCAAAAATTCTTCACACCTTCCACCCACCCACCCCTTGTTATGGGTAAATTATCTTAAGCGAGTCAAAGCTGGAAAAATGGGCATAAGGAGCTACGGGAAACTAATTGGCCAAGAGGGGGTAGGGTCAAATGATTAGGCCTTAATTGGTTTTGCCTGTAGCAGACTACTTGTTTAATACGTTATAAATTTAGAGGGCAAAATTAATATATCGATACACATATTATAATATGAAGAGATTGCTACTAACAAAACTATTGTGACACTAAAGAATTACTCGGCTTAGAAATCTCACTTTCTTCTAAACTTATTTTCTTTCCGAAACCAGATTCAATGGTGCCCTAAACCCTACGGCTCCTACCATGATCATCAGCCATGCATTGCAATACTAGCACAACTCTTGCAAGTTGCAAAATCATCACCGTATACAACATACCATCACAAAACTAATAATTGACCCGTCACTATCTTTTTTTTATCGAACTCTTTTTCACAAGTAAGATTTCCATCAAATGAGAATAACACGAATTTATTATTCCCGGTAAATACCATTATGACAAGCATGCTGAGACTTTCACGTGGCATAGTATTATTTGACTGGAATTTGCAACAAAGCTTTTCTTCTTTTCCACACATTCCTATATTTTCACTCTAACGCTACCACTTGACTTTACTATTCATGGCCAATTGACCCATCGATTAACTAGGTGCATTGTATTGCGTGAAGAACACAGACTTATTTATTTACCTTTTTCCCCTACGAAAGTCAATCTTGGGAGCTCTGAAAAATTGTTGGGCACAAAGAAATTGGAATACGCACTTGCTTTATGCCTCAAAACAAGGTCCTTGCTGCAGAGTCTATACGTTTTTGCTTGTAAAATACTCTTGCCCACAAACCCGAAATGGATTTAGAATTCCACATCCGTACTCAGTTTTTAGTAAATTAATTACCAAATGGCTTGTCGTTCTCGTATCTGCTCTGCCTAAGACCAGGAAAAGAAGCAAGAAAGAAAGAAGCTCATGTTTACGAAATGGTTTGGTTCGGCGGTTACTTGTAATAATAATTGCTTAGAGTTGTAAGCTCCTAATAATATTATTTAATTAATTAAATGGGGTGTTGAGCTTACCCAAAATGACACATTAACCAAACAAAGAAAATGAAGCAATAGCGGCAAACCCACTAATAAGCTTCCCGCCCGCCCTATACACATTCAACTAACTCAAACATTTTTAACTACTTGAAAACGAAACGTAACTTGGCAGTTGGTGGGCTGCCTTAATTTCAATCACAATGAAGAATGAAATGAGTTTCATTCAAGATACCACAAGTTGTTTAGTATGATCCTCAATAAGCAAAGTTCCGTTGTTAATATAATCCCCTCTTTTCTATGAGGTATCGTCACATTTCGTTGCACAAAAAATACTATTTATCCAAAGAGGTTACTCATACTTTTGGTGTTGATTATTTGCTTAGTGTCCAAAACGATTCTTATATAGGATTAACCGTCTTGGGGTTTAGTACTTATCGTCATTATTCACATTCCCGAAAAATCATCATACATATAATATGATTTTTTTAGAACCTGGATAACAAGTCTCATGATATAGAAACTTAAAAATGATCTAACTTTAAACATAAACACAATATCAATGCTAAATAATTTGAGGACCCCGGACTCCCATTATAGATATATGATCTTGGACAAGAAAAACAAATTAGTTAATTAAGCTACGATTTAGATTAGACCCAAACTCCAATCAAATCCATAAAATCCATCAAAGTCATGAGAAGCCATGTTACCTTGCTACCCATAGTGGGCTCATATAAAAGAAGCCATGTTGCTTGTCGCCTAGATTATGATATATAATGTGACCCCCCTTTATTTGAATTGAAATTTAATGATAGATCCTTCTCCACTTCCAATTTGAGATTTTTTTGGGTTTGGGTCTTAATCATAGGCTAATTAAATAGCTAATCAGCAGTAAGATATATATTTTCGTTATCAAAGTATTTAAGCATGGAAGGTGACGGTGAGTGTGGCCATGATTTTATTAGTTAAGTGTCAATTTTTAGTTTTAATAAATCCTCAAATTTAATGTTGGGCACCCACGAGTAGGTATATATCCCTTTCCATCATCCATGCACATGCTTTTTTTTAAAATCAAAGTGAGATAACTTCATTGAAACAACAATGTTATCACGTGATTATAAATCCAAAACAGAAATGTATATATAGAAAAGCAAGTGCCTGGGCCTAAAGCTCAAGCCCAACAGACAATATCTATATAAGTTGTTAGATGGAGCCCAAGTTTCTTCACCCAAACAAATATTCAAACCCATGTTTGGTGATTTGAGTCTCTCACTTGGTATTTCAAAACCCTCAAATCCATTAGACGTGTTTTGAGTACTCTACACACAAAGACCAACACCATAAACTTATGTATTTATACGCTCTCTTACAAAACCCTAGTTCCCCTAGAACAAGTTACACACAACCCAATACTAAAAACAAACCCAAATAACTCAAACTAGAAATAAGAAACTAAGTTCGCGCAGAGATGATCAATCGCTTTGAATAAAGAGTGACAATGAACAAGCCCCCCCAACCCATCAAGTAGTTACCGGTTTCGAACATTTCCTTCCTCAACAAGAAAGGAAAGGTCTAAACCTAGCTCAAAAAAGCTAAGAGCAAGATAGTCATTAGCTTCTTTTTATCTTTGAGATTACAAACAAGTAGGTTTACAATATTCCTATTAGACGTATATCCCTCCCAAGTTATTATAAATACCTCCACTACTAACCAATGTACAATATATTATGAACCCTAAACCTACTATAGTTCGATCTTACAAAGTTACTAATGTAATCGATAAAGCGTTATTGATCGACACCACATCGGTGTCCTTTCACCGCTCGTAAAGTCTATCAAATTTTGCAGGTAACTTTTAGGGGCGTTTCTACACTAAGGGCAGCCTAGCCCAAATTTTTCTTAAAAAAATAAAATTGAATGGGCAGCTTTTCTCCTTTTGTTTTGTCTACATCAACTTCTCCTCTTCTCTACAACAACTTCTCCTCTACTTCTCTTGACATATAGACATCAACTTCTCCTCTTGCTAGCAATAACTTCTCTTTTTGGCAACAATTATTCTTCTCATTCTCTCATTTTTAATTATCTTATGCATCTTTAATTTGAAAATCAAGTATTCTAGGGTTCAATTAGGGTTTTGATTTTATGAATTTTGTTGAGATGTTTGATTTGTTGTTGGTATTGTTGAGATGTTTTATTTGTGTTGGTATGTTTGATTAAAGGCATTAATGCTATTATGAGAATTGGTTTATTTTTGTTGAGATGTTTGATTTCTCTTCATGGCAAAATCTTTCCGTTGAGCCTCAAGTTGAAAGAGTTGAGGATCAAAGAGTCAATGATGATCATGATTTTAATATCAATTATTTTAAGCGTGATCCATGATTATGTTGTGTAGTTTTTTGTATTTGTTAAACTTTTACTTATTGATAGAGATGCATTTGAGGGTAAGACTCATTATGTCTCTCTGACTATGTGTATCTTTATATGTCTATTAACGAAATCCACTCGTCGTCGGGTTTAGTATGTAAATTTTGCACAACCGACTTTCAATTCATCGAACCGCTATGTTACTTGAAAAATAATGTTCCATAGAATTGCGCATTTTTTCTTGGACTCATAGAGAATCGCATGTTATAGTTTCTTAGAATTTTTTTAATTTTGTGCGCAACTTTGCAACAAGAGAGAAGAAAAGAATGAAAGAAAAAAAAAAGGACATAGGTACATATACTACACACGTGGTTAATCGGACAGAAAGATCGCGATCTAGTTGACCATGTGAATGACGTCACAAAGTCAAGCTGGAAAAAGTACAGGTGGACACGTGTCCAATGACGGGTAGAGAGTACAGTCGCCCATCCTACTTGAGCGAGTAAAGGTACCAAATAGTTGCCTGTGCACTTTCCAGTTGCAACTTTGGAAGCACAGATTACAGTTAAACAGTCCTTCCCAGTCCCACCCAGTTGTGATTGTTTGTTCCCTTTCTCACTGCCTTGCTTTCAAATTCAATAACCAAAATTCCCTTTTAACCTTTTTTTATATTCCCATTTTGAGGTCAAAAGCTTCTTCGTGTGCCTGCAGAGTTCTCAAAAACCCTAGCCCAAATAGGCAATTTATTTTTATTTTTATTATTTTCTTTTTCTGTCATCTTCTGGGTAAGTTCTCAATCACTATTTCCTATTGTCAAGTTCTTGTCAATTGAATTTCTTTCTTGTGTTAATCTTGCTATGAATTTGACTGTATTTGTCAAAAAGCTTTATTGGGGTCTGCAAATTATTTGTTTTCTCCATTGAATGTTTTCCACTGCGAGTTTTGGAAGCTTCAAGCTTGAATTTTGGGAAGCTTGAGCTTTCTTTTGAGTTGTCATGGACATGGTCAGATTGGTATGCTGAGCTCCGATATGTTTTTCTGTTTGAGTTGATTAAAGTGGTGCTCTGTGATTTGCTTTGGTGGTGTGGATTTTCAGTTCTTAATGGGTTTTGGGAAGCAAAGTTTTGCAAAAGGAATTGAAGCTTGGTTTGTTTTTAATTACATCATGTGTTGAGCTTTTATGCTTGAAGCTATTGTGGAATATGTTAATTGACATTTTCTTACCATTTGCAGAAACTCAGGATTCAGAGACAGGAAAAAAGAGCCCAATTTCTTCATACTGCTTGAAACATTCTTACTGCTTGTGGTAACAAAACCATGCAGTTATATCACCACCCATACTCATTGGACAGCCAAAGAGTGAGACTTGCTTTGGAAGAAAAAGGCATTGATTACACATCATTCCATGTCAATCCTGTAACAGGCAAGAACATGGATGCCTCATTCTTCAGGAGGAATACAAACGCAAAACTCCCAGTTTTCCAGAACGGTAGCCATGTCATTTTCGACACAATTGAGATCATTCAGTATGTTACATACTTCACTCTTCACTCTTTGTTACTGTAAATATGAGATTTGAGTTTGGAGGTCACTTTAGATTTGCATCGTACTGAATTCATCTCATTTTCTAGTTCAATGTTTAAGCAGTGTTTTCTTGTTTCCCAAAACATGTTTAATATGACAATGTAAAAGATTTTGAACTGCTGTCTATCTGTTTTTCCAGATATTTAGAAAAAATTGCAAAAGTCTCATCAGGCAATGAGAACATCCCATTCAGCAGCAGTGAAGTCATTGAATGGATGCATAAGATACAAAAATGGAACCCCAAGTATTTCACACTTTGTCACATCCCTGAGAAGCACCGTCGTTACGTCTCTAAATTCCTAAGGCAGGTGCTCATTGCTCGAATGGCAGAAACTCCTGATTTGGCAGCTGATTATCACAAGAAGTTAAAAGAAGCATATGAGACAGAAGAAAAGTTGAAAAACCCGGATGTTTTGAAACAGGACAAGGAACACCTAGTAAGACTTCTTGATGAAGTTGAAACACAGCTGAATGAAACGGCATATTTAGCCGGGAAAGAGTTTAGCATGGCAGATGTGATGCTCATTCCGGTGCTCGCACGGTTAGTGATCTTGAATTTGGAGGATGAGTATATAGGTGGCCGGCCGAACATGGCTAAATACTGGATCATGGTGCAGCAGAGGCCTAGTTATAAGAAGGTGATTGGGAAGCATTTCTGTGGCTGGAGGAAGCACAAAACATTGGTGAAAACATGGTGCATAGTTCACATCAGAACCATGCTAAGGAAATTCTGATGAATTATGCATGATATTCTTCCCATGCTGTAAATGGCTCAGTTGCATTAGATTGGAAAAAGAAAGAAACAAGAGAAAAGAATATCAAGTGTATGTACTTCACTTTTTACATTTTTTTTAAATCCTTCTTCTTTGGAGGAGATTGGGCAATAATTAATACTATATCTGGAGATCTGTTCTTCTCGAGTAGAAAATACTTGAAATAATTAATAGAGAAGCATATGTATACTTTATTTATTGTAGGTCTTGCGAAGCTTTCTGATTTCCAACGTTGCTGGAAAATTGAAGTTAATTTTGATGCCAGTAGACAATAAGATTAGGGGTGGCAGCTTGTAGCAAGATTCAAATTGGACTGAAAGTTAACCATTACTCAGCAGCACGAACCTGTTAACCAGTTCGGATTAACCATTACTCGGCTTGAACCTGTATATGATATGATTCGCTAACAAGGATAATACACGGGTCAAGTTAGTGTTGAATACGGATTAACTCAAGTTTAGTGTTAAATATGACATGACAAAAAATGACTGATCTTTCTTGTTTCTTAATAGGTTGTATGAGTTCTTGGTCTATCCATTTTTCAACACAATACAAATATAAACATGTTGAAATACTAATGAGTCATGTTACATGAGTAATTGCAAAGATTATACCATAATCGAATCAGTAATTAACACAAATTACTCAATTACGAAATCACATAAATGACTCTAACAAGAATTGCCAGCCTTAAAAGTATAAGATTCCAGATGTTGCAACACAGTTAACCTTAATAACTTTAAACAAGTAAACACGAGCAGAAAAGAAAAGGAACCACACTCTAGTAAATCATAACGAGGATAGATAAGTGGTACAGTAAAATCTTATTACAGTTGAAACACCCATTTGTATTCAGTCTGAATGTTGCAAACGTACCAAACAATACATAAATCATTTTCATCCTCAAGAACTAATCAGAGAGATGCAAACTTTCTATTAATATTACAGCTCATGGTTACTATATTACAAGAGAAGATAACCTAGTAATATAAAATATAAATCATACTTTGGAGATTAATGCATGTCATACACATCTATAATATAAAAAAAAAATTAAAAAAAAAGTCATGGGGAACATTATGAAGGGGGTTCAAAATTGATAAATGCCTTTTCATATATCTTAAAAAAATCATTCATAAGCCTTATAATGTAAATAAAAGATAACATACCTCTTTGAGGTGTTAGTCGATGGATCAATATTTTATAAGAGCACATCACCAGACAGGAGCATCTTTTTCATGAGGTCTTAGTACTATAACTTCAATTCCAAGACTTGAACATTGAATAAAAATTTCATTTAAATAAACCCAGAAACAAAAGAATTGGGAACACATTGAGGTATAAAGCAAGAGTAGCTCATCCTACGAATGAATGTTGATTAATGGTGATGTGAATGCTGATTGACATTATTCCCAGCTTTCTCCACCCTATGGCTTAAATCCTCTGAACAATATGAAGTTCTAAGCTCATTTGCTACGTGTCCTATGCCTATGCTGTCTGTCCCACCTCCGGAGTTGTTTCCAGTACATCCCCACCCGTTTTGGTCGCTGAAAGATGGGGGCCTCAATTTTGTATTATTCCAGTACTTCTGCTGCTTGAAGTATCTCCTTCCCAAATCATTCGAGGATTCTCTAACTCGTTTAGATGAATATTGATTGTTTGCACATGGACTGCCAAAGTCTGCCTGATTGGAACCAGTTGTGCTTGGAGTGCTTTCTTCAGACTGAGAAGTTGCAGGAACACACCGGTCCGGTTGTCCTCCTGCAGGTTGATTACCTGATACATGATTGACGGTAGGATAAGGTGAAGGGTCTTTCTTATGTCGGGGAAACGGGGGCAATGGGGGAAAAGGCTGAAAAGGTATGCCAGGGGCAACAGCCCAAGTCTCTACAGTTTCAGCATGTGGTGTCCCATATTGCTGCATCATTGACAGTGGAAATCCATACGAGACAGATAAGCGAGAAACAAATTTTTCTTGCGGATGCCCTATAACTGCAGCAGGACACTTCAAAGGACAAAATGATGACGAAGCAATAGATGAAACCATAGGGGTTCTAATGTAAGATGAAAACCCAGGAGGAACATCCTCAAGGTTGATCTGAGCTCCATCATTTTGCTGAGAGTTATCATGCACACTGCTTGAGCAATTTCCGTTGTCGCCACTCACCCTCTCTGAATGCAATGCCACTTCACCCGTCCCAGACAATGGACTAGGTCTATGCAATCCAGACTCAGTCTTCTGTTCTTTGTTCTGCAGTGAACTTGAATCAGGGATTGTCTCTGCTGGCTGATCCCATCGGCTTTTACGCTTGCGAACTTTTGTCACACTGGTTGGGCATCCACCTGTACAAGGTGCAGAACAGTCCTGGACACCTGTACAAGGTGCAGAACAGTCCTGGACACCTGTACTCACAGAAGTCGTTGAAAGTACTGATTGCTTGATACTATCTATAGTGTCAGTAGACCTTCCACTTTGATCACGCCAATTATCATGCGATGTGGAAAATCTGTTGCAGTTTGAACCTCTGTTAAATTCCATCTTGCTATCATCCCTGTCTATAAAGCCATGTCTTCTGAGATGTCTAGGGATCCACCTATCTCGAAAGTTCCGTGCTATTTGGTGGACCTGTAAAATACTCAACTGATTCAAACTCAGAGTGGTTATATTCATTCATTGATGCATCAGGACACATATTATAGAAAACATCAAATGAAGCCCCTAAGCAACTATTTCTATTAACAGAAGAACATACTAAATGATTAAGGAATCTAAACTGATTATCAAAACAAGACCTGTTTGTCCTTGTGTTCTGTCAGTGATAGCATTGACTCCATAAAGCTGCAGAGAAACACAATTTTCAGGAAATAAGCAACACAGCTAAAAGTTAAATACAATTTTTTTTTGTTGGAAGTTAAATACAATTCAACTTGAATTAAAAAAAGGTAATCATAATATGAGAAGTGCTCCCATTCATAAAATACAATGCAATTAGAAAAATTTGTCTCCGTTCACTAAATCTGAAACCAACTTCCATTCTCACATGGCCACCCAATAAACGAGAAAAAAAGGAGAAAAGAGAATTAATGAAGGATATTCAATGACGAAACAAATAATTACCTCTCCATTCCAGGGCAAGGAGGACCTCCAGTAATATGTTCCAACGTAAGTATCTGCTTTACAGCCAAATACTCTAGGACCTGAGAGGATAACATTAGTCAGCAGTCTGCTGAATGCCAAAATATTAATAAAGCAACGTTCTCTCTATCAATTTTCTTAAATCCCTGAAGCCACTCCACATGAAAACACAGAGACACAGAGAGAGAGAGAGAGAGAGAGAGAGAGAACCTTCAGAAGCTTCCGGAGGATTGGTATCTTTTTGAAGTCTTCTCTGTACTTCTTCATTATGTTGTGTAGCATTCTCAAACCTACCCCCAAAAAAAAAAAGATTCATCAATTTGAAGCAAATGAGGGCACAATTAATTATTTCATCCATTCCCAACCCAAAAAGGGGAAACAGATAAGCAGAAAAGGCAACAAAAGGGAGGATACACACCGTTTTTATTTATTACATCAACCAAAACCACCCGTGACCTTGTTTTCAAAAGTGCATCAAGGATCATCGAAAGATCTCGATTGCTGAAAGAAAAAAAAAAAAAAGGGTTTTTACTGGAGAAATGTCAACTAAACACTTCATCTAAACGGCAACAACTGAAACTTGTTAAGTGAACAATATTACGACACATGACAAGAAAATGAAGTAAAAGATTTCAAATAACCTCTGAATTGCTTCACCATTGCCACTATCACCTGATACTGCAGTTAGGAACAGAAGCTTCAAGTAGCCTTTAGTGGAATCCTGTAAGAAAAAACCATGCATACATGAACTAGCAACATAAAAGACAACCTATAAGAATAAAAATTTAGAAAAAGAGAGGTTGTCAAGGCTAATTGCTTGAAGAAAAGATTATGATCATTATTAATTTGACACAAGAAAGGGTTTTGGAAAATTCCGGCAATAGGCTTCAGAAGTAACGTTCAAAAGGAAAATACTAAAAAGAAAATATGGTGCAGTGTGCTCAGTAGCAGACATGGACCAGCACACAGGTTTCAAAAACAAAACCAAACAATGCAAGGAGTATTATGACAATGTACAGGTCCATAATGCTCCAATGCGGAATAGAACAATAATATGACAAGGAAACCCACAAAATGAAGTACATTAGCAGATAGAAAATGGCATAGCTACTTACTTTCCGTTTATTTATCCCTCCATCGACATCCAACAGCTCATTAAGCTTCTCCTCCACTGCAAGCATTGAAGAGCATCACGCCTCAATTAATCAATTATCCATCACTCTTTTTTCTAAAAAAACAAGTATACAAAGAATCCCTTACCTGAACCTTCTGTTAATCTTTTGGGTTTGATAGAAAGCACATGAGATTTGTTGGCTGCCACTTGAATTCTGTTACCACTTGGGATAATCCTCACTTTGCCTTTCTTCACAAAACTGGATGAACGGGAAGTTTTCACATTAGGACGCACTTTAGAAGAAACCTGCCTATCTTCAGTAGTGTCAGACTTGGACTTCCTGTTAGCATCAATGCCATCAGATAAAGACTTGCTAAGCACTTTTATTGGAGAAGAAATCTCTAGTCTTTCAAAGGAGGTTGAGGATTTTTCTTTAGTCTCATTTTCCCTTAAAATCTCCTGCTGAACAACAGACATGGGTCTACTAGTTTCTTCTTTATGTTCGGAAGCTTCAACTGGTTGGACAGAAGATGGTAATTTTTGTCTTGAGTGCTCCAGATCCAGTGAATCATGTATATGCGAACCAACAGATTCAGATGGGTTCAAGGACTCCTCCCTTTGTGTGGTAAACTCCAATTCCCCAACTGCAATTGTTGACTTATCCATTTCTTTATTTGTAGATGCACTCTCCACCTTTTCAGATATACCATCTTCTGGAATCATCAGGGGCTCGATATATTCTTCATCTGAATCATCTTGAATGATGACTTCACTATCAAGAGGATCACCACCTATATAACCCCGACATTGAGCTGAGCCACAATAACATTTTTTGGCAGCGGCTCCAAAAACCCTTACATAGTTGTAGTCAAATGTCACCTCTTCACCCTGAAAAATAATCATATGGGCATATATACAAAATGGTGAGTATGAACACAGAGA